GAAGCACCCAGTGCCAGTGAAACAGTCTCATTTGAGTTCTGCTATCTTCTGGCGCACACATGAATCCAAGATTCAGTGAAATTCAAAAAGGAAAAAATATTGTCATGCAAGAGCTGTCATTGATCATATCCCTTGATCCCCAATCTAAGTACACAAATTGAATAGTTTCATAGAATATGGAACATACTTAGGAACTATCATAACCCAAAAGTAAAACTAAACAGACAAGTATAATAATTCCAAAGATAATAATTCACATCACCTGTCCCAATTGAACAATAGATTCCTTTTTCTGAATATCATGGTTCCGTGTGTTATCAGGTAATGCTGCAGCTCTGGTAATAACAGCAAAGACAGGATCCCGGCCATAGAGTTTCCCGTCTTGAACCAGCAAACGCTGTTCAAAAGTTTTCAGGTCAATAATTCATGAATATTTTGACATAACTGTAACAGTAAGTATCTAGTCCAAAGTTTGGACTCTGGAGAAAACAAATGAACAAAATCAAGAAATACTTCCAGCTCCAGCAGCGCATAGTGCGGGCATAAACTAGAAAATGAAACAATGGTAGGACCGTAGGCCTAAGGTTATAAATGCATGCAAAGCTGTGTTACCCAGACACATTGTTTAACCTAAAGAACTAATTTCTCTCGGCAATTAGTTTAACATAGCAATAGCACAAAGACGGATCTGCTGCAGGGTAATGTAGCTAACATGGACTATTAAATACTAAATACCATAAAGTCATCATACCAGGCACTGGAAGAACAATTGAAGTAGAAACAAATGAAACATTGGAAACCAACCTGAAGATGAGCTCTTGCCACTAAATCAGGCTGAGATTTTTGAAACTTAACCACAAAGTGCAAAACACTTTCTAAAGATGGGTCTAATGGGTAGGAACATATAACATCCACATCTTGCAGAAGTTTCATAAAATATTCAACAGCCTGGTATAACAAAACAAAAAGAACGTTATAATAGTGGAGGTAAATTACCAGAACTGTAGTAATTATCAAATGCTCACCTTTTTCCAACTAAGAATTTTAATTGCACGTGGTGGGGTTGGGGCAGATAACCTACAGTTTAAACTAGCATCAAATCCAATTGGTTGACGGCCAGAAGCAGTAGTTTTGTCTTCTATACTGCCTTCATGAGTTACAAGAGTACTAGATCTGAGGAACTCAGATGAGTTAAGAATGCATTTCAATTCTGATATGCAGGAGGCTATATGTTTTCTTGCCAACTCCAAACCTCTCCCTTGAGGCCGCCTCATAGATGTAAGAACATGGTAAAAATGCTGAAAGAAGAACAACAAAAGAAATCTTTTTTATTGAACTTTTAGAATATGGGGCATTATTTTCAAATGCATGGATATGTGCTCACAGGTGATGCAGATGCATATAAGATAAACAAACACAGGGTAAGACCTTACGAAAGCGTAAGCGGCATAACAAAGCTTTGCAGTAGCTTTCCTCAAATTCAACATTATTTTGTAGTGGCACCAAGTCTGCAGCAAAAAAGCTAGTATATGAACCAAGCATAATATTGTAAAATGTATAAACATACATGCAGTCTGAAAGGTGGCAACAGCTATGTAGATACACAAAGTAAACCTACTCTGGGTATGAAAGGTATAAGGTAGGAAATCCAATTACTAATTTGAACTAAAATTGATCTAACAAGGAATTAAAATAAAAGAAGAAAATTGATATACACTGCCTTTGTTTTCTTCACATATCTGTTATTAATGCGAAAATTGATATATTTTACATGAAGATTGATATTAATGCGAAAGTTAACAGATATACCTTCTAACACTCTGGTTTTCGATGATGGGGCTTTACAGGCACGTAATTGGCGGGAAATTGTTTCTTCAACAGCATTTAGCATTGACAAGCACTTTTCATCTCCATCCCCATTCAAAGGAAGACCATATGTCATTATAAAAAGGTCTTCTTCCTGCCAATGAGACAAATTTGATGAAATTTGCATATACAAGCATTTGTTCACTGCAAGAGACTACTTAGAAACTAGGACTTATATGTCTATACATGCAGTTGACACAATCTTGCAAGTGGACAAAAATGCACTGTATTGTCATCTGGATGTGAGCTATAATTTACTCGGAGGATAACAATCATTTATGAGTATAACTCATTGATTTATTTTCTTAATTTCTCCTGTCTGACTCAATCCTGGGAGCAGTAAGAATTGAACATAAAGACTGAAACTAGGAAAAAGATAAATTACTACAAACTAATGGAAATACTGAAACAGCGTAGACCAAAAGAGCTGTTGGAATACTTTACTTCATGAGTCCGTGCATCCGAGACAACTGAAATGACTGTCTTGCAGGTTGCTCGTATGACTCTGCAATAAGAATGCAGTAAGGGATGTGAAGATGTCCTATCAGGCCTGAGAAGATAGATGCAAGAGAAGACAGTTTGTGCCAATGAATGACCCTTGTGCCATGTTGCCTGCCATTCAAAAATTTAGATATAAAAACATAAAGAAAGGAAAGACTGTAGTACAGAGACAAAAACTTATAAGATAGATTACTTCAACTGCAAATTTTAGAGTCAAAAACATATATCAGGAATATGTTTCAGCCGATAATGGGAAAAAAGAAAATTAAGATCGTAAGAGAAAAGATCTAATTAGAGCAATAAAGGGAGTTATCCAGCAGATACCTCACAGGCTAGAAGATGGTCCATGATATCAATAGTGCATTGTACATCAATCGTTTTGTCAAAGCTAATAGGAACTGGAGCAGCACCATTCTCAATTGCTTCATCAACAGAGTAATATTTACAAATCATACCAGAATCCATCTTTGGGTCCATTATCTAATAAGGAACACAAACATCAAGTGTTAAATACAGTCCACACAAGTACTTGAAAAACAAAATTAGAAAAAATAGAACACAAAACCAATATAGCATAGGTTAGGTTGACAGAAAGATTGTGCAACTCTTTGATTCTTAATGCTGTCGATGGTGAATCACCAATGTCAAATGAATAACAAAGGTTGCATCCAACGAATAGGAATTTAGGCTGAGCACACACGAATGAAGAAAAAAATACATTTTCCTGAGTAGATTTTTGTTTTCAACAACTTATTGAATGATCATAAACCAAATGCTGTGTGAACTATTCAGTTTAAGACACAGCAATTTTGAATGTACTAATAAAATTTTTTTTAAAAAGGTGCAGACAACGTCTTACCTCTAAAGCAGACATCGCAGCAAAAAGATTGAAATTATCTCCATGAATGAGCATACCATCTTGAAGATCTGTGACCAAAGGTCATCAAAAGAAAAATAAATGAAGAATGAGAAGCCAAGAATAGGATAGAATGGCAATCAAGTTCTAAACCCAAACAGCATTATAATACACACACAGCTTATATTGATTTTGATGTTATATTTACTATATACATAAAGAAAGAAAAGAAGAAGAAAGATTGCAGAGTTTGCTAAACATATTTGATAAGTTTCATTTGTACCAATCTCAGCAATTATAAAATGAAGCAATAGGGATTTACAAAGCCCACAGTTCACTTCCAACAAAAACCAACAACTCAAGCCTTAGTCATCCAAACAACCTAGCAATACAGAACCATTCCAACAGTAAAATATTTCAACATTTGTCAGCAAACGAACAGAGCATCATTCAACGTTTTCAACTAATGGAGAATAACCACTGCTTTTGATTAGCCACAGGCACTTACAAGAAGAACGGATGTGGTATGTACGTTTTGTATAGATATAGAATATGTGATTAAACTACTAGGCTCGCTTCCTTAATCTGTTCATTTGTTTACATTGAATTCCGATGTCCAATAACATTTGTCATATGAAAACATAAAAAGCAATAGATTCTCATCCCCTTTCCTTGCTTTCATTTTCTTTCAGTTTCTCAGAAACCGAACAGAGTCACTGAGAAGTTGAGATTGAAGCATAGGGCAACAAGGGGAAAACCACTGACCTTTGCAGGCGGCGTCGAGAAGGGGTGACACGTCGGCCCAGACAGTGTGATCGCCGGAAGGAATGGGAGTGCGTTCGGGTAAGGGGAGGTCCACTGTAGCTTCCTGTGCACTCGTCCCGGCCATCGTCGTCGATGCTTTTCGCTGCGGAAGCTTTGGAAGTCTCCTGTATTGCTGCTTGCTGGGTAGCGTTGTGTGTGTGATCTTTTTAGCAAAGGTGGGTGCTTTGCTCGGTTGCTGCCCACTTGCCTGCCTTGACAAGTACAACAACAACGACCAGCTTGCGCGTCAATCAGTGTGGACTGGTGGGGGTGTTTAGGGCATCAAATGGGTCGGATCTGGTCTTGGTATGATTTCATTGGATTTCCTTTCAATTTTTATTTAAGAAATAAGAAAAATTAAAGGGTAACCCTCCTCTTCTTCTTTTTTCATTTTTCAGATTAGGGTGAAATCCTTGTACATTTTCAAGTATAGCAATAGTTTTTCAACTCAATCTTTAATTTCATTTTAATTCTTAAATTAAAAATAGTAGAAACACTTAACATTAAGCGCCACTTTGGTGTTTGTTATTAAGGATTTTGCTAAGATCAGTCGCTCTCCAGTAAATGACGATTTATGACTATTATAATATGTTATCTTTAATAGTCAAAAATAGTCACTTATGCATGATAAATATCCATTTATCATGTATTTTTCCCAAACTATTGTGTCATATATGTATGTGAGTACTACATTTTCAATAGTGTACCTTCATTTCAGCCCCTAACTAACTAATAATTAATGGAAATTAAAAATTGAAAATACTCTCCAATATAATTGCCTTCTTCTTCTTCTTTTTTTCTTTTGGTTCAATGTGCATGTGACAGGCGCCCACTCATTTCAAGTTCATAATAGGTAATTGAAGAAACACACCTAAAAAAGAATCATATGTAAACCCTCTTGCTATTACAATGGGAAGAATATATAGTACACCAGTGTCTGGTCCGATGTGATCCAAGCAACGGACATGAGAAATCAAGATGGCAGCAAAACATCAAGCCTTCTCAGCCAAACCGAGTGAAGCAACATGTGGATCATATCATAAGGTTGAGCTGGTCGATGAATCATGAAATGCCTGTGCACCTCTGTCACCCTCTTTTGCAGTTTCAAATACCTTTTGGGGGAAATTCCTTTCAAAATTGTCTTGATTTCTGGTATTTTGTCTGATGGAATGTACACGGAGAATTTGGTCCAGTCAAGAACATCACTAAAGGGCAATGCATAGTAGTCAGAAATGAGGACAGGGACACACCCCACAGAAATTGCTGTGACCACCCTTGCACTTGCCACTTCATACCCACTTGGGCACAAGCAAAACTTGCTCTTCCCCATTAACTTGAAGTAATTTTTCTTCTTGTCGAGGTACTCATGCACTTGCACTTCGTTGTCTTTGTCTTTCCAATGCTCGAGCAAGATATGCCTTATGTTGCCGTGAGCACCGCCAGCGAAGAAGGCGAGGATGGAACGCTTATCAGGGCTTGTACTCTGTGGGGTTGGACCAAGTTTTCCATAGGGTATGTTGATTTCTGGAATTGAGACGTCTCTTCGGGGCTTAAACCCTTCCGAGGTATTGGCATTGCATAAAACTCTTATGAACTTGTCGTAGAGCTTAGGGTCCGCTTCTGAAATGTCCGGTGCCTGAAATTTTAAACTAACCACTAGTCATGATGAGTGATCAATTGTGCATTTAAATAGTCATTCGAATTATAGAAGACAAAACAAAACCATTTAGGGCATGTGCATCATTGACCACTTTGTTGATCATCTCCCGTACGTGCAACGTGTAAAGATGTTGCAAATAGTTTTATTCAAAAGCTTGGAAACTAAACTAATAATGAAAGATAGAAGAGAAGAGATGTAAAAGGAGGCATACCCAATCATGGCAAGAAACTAAGAAATGGTCAGCACCTTGGCTTCTATTCCAGTAAGGGTATCTTTCAGATATAATGCCAATATAATCCAAAACCACCCTTTGTAGCTGATCACGGGAATAAGTGACAAGAGGCTTGTAAAGAGTGTTGACGATGTTGACCACACTGATAGGTATGAGGAACAGGTTGGCCTCATCAGGATGACGAGCCATGAAGCGGCTCTTGCCGCTCTCCATCTCGTCGATGAACTGCCCCTCGATGCCGTAGATGTTGTTCAACGGCCCGCCGTGGACCAAGGGAGGCTCTCCTTCCCTGTAAATCCACACCTTCAATCTTTTCTCCATCTCTACGTGGCTCCTGATCCATCATCATACATAACCAAAATTTATTTATTTATTTTGGTAAATAACGTATTTGTGCTTGCTAACCCAAATTCAAGCATGTCACATATTAATAAAGGTGCACAAATTTTAGTGCTACAAAATTCAAAACCTGCATGGTATGAAATCAAAGCAACGGATCGACAGCAATGCGTAAAGGTTAGGCTTAGTAATTTGAATCCAATTAATTAATGATATGAATTGAGTAGAGAATAATCGATTAGCGGAAGCCAAATTAAGGTTAAAAAGCTTGTCCCTTGGCATTCACTCACGGTTAAAATTTATCGATATATAAACTCTACTCTAGCAATTACTATACTTACATAATGCTGAATCATTAAGGACAACAGAAATGGTAAATTAGAAAGATTTCATTGAATTGGAACAAAAATTGGTAAACGCTGATTTTAGAAGATTTTAATTCCATATATGCATTAACCATAAATCAGGAATTTTATTTGAAAAATTATGGAAAGTTTGAAGGTGCGAATTGTTTTCGTGACAACTCGCATTATGGATTCCATTCCGATCAAATGTTGTAGCACTCTATTTGCTTTTGCTCTGATGCCACTTGAACGTTGTGTTAAGGTGACACACTACACCCTTATAGTGTAGTGATACAATATTTTTCGATTATATTGTTTGTGTGTGTCATTTCTAATCACCATGTTATAAGTTAGCATTTTTGTTTTCGTAGTAAATCAATTAACATTAAACGTCCAGATTTTGTTTAATATAGACATTAAATTTCCCACTACCCTCTCAGTCGGGAAAGTCATCAAAAGTCAAAAACCGGAAGAAAAAAATAATTGAATTCAAAAGAAAAACCTCTGTTTAGACAGAGAAAAAAACCGACAGAAATGAAGGAAAAACATATATGTGAAACTTAACTGATGAAAAGAATGTGCATTTCTGTAGACGGATCCTGTTGGAATGAACCCTTGATCATCATTTCCCTTGGAATGATTCTTTGCCTGAACTGCTTTACGAATCGCATCTCGTGCTCTAGCCAAATCTGCTTCAATTCTCTCCAAATTACTCATTTTCTACTCAGACATGAAACAAAATAATAAAATCGATCACATATACATATTCAAAATAAAAAATACATGTATTCATGGCATAAACAAATATTTACACACTCACTTTTTTAGGTTTTTCCACCCCTTCAATGAGATTACTTGTGTCATTCGCCGTCAATGAATATGACGGCGATAATAACGTTGGTGGTGGTAATGATGGTGGCGATGAAATGGGTGGCGGAGTGTCGTGGATGGTTTTTATGTGGGAAATAGGAGTAGGATATGAGAAAATAATATTGGTAATGCTGGTTTGGTTTAATGGAGATAAATAAAAGAGAAAAAAACAAAAGAGAAACAGAACGGGTAGAGTTACAGTCACAGTTTGCATAGCAGAGCCAAATTCTGCCATGGCTTTTGCTTTCCTTCTCACTTGTTTGAAGGAGGAGGAGGGAGGAGAAAGAACATTGTATTTGGTATATGAGGGGGGTGATAAATATGAAATCAAAGCACACGTAAAGCTCTAAAGTCACAATTTGGTGAGTATTTGTCGTCACAAACCAATGTACATGTAATGTATGTGTGGGACCCTCTTACCTACGGCTACGGTTATGGTATGCAAAATTTGGTACGTCGAGGCTGGTGATATATGGTAATAATTTAATTAAAATCTTGGCAAATCAATGGTAGAAGAAGGAGAATCTGGATATTTAATACATTGAGATATTGGGTTTAAGGAGAAAGGAGGAGGATAAGAGTGATTACTCTTTTCGCACATGGAAGGAAGTTGAGATATTATATATGGAAAAAGGAATCAGTGGCCAACTCATTACTCATGAGTCATGCCTTCACAAGAAACAGACTGGTTGAATATGTATGTAACCTATACAATTATTTTGTGTAAGTTATTTGCCTTTTCTGTTTTTATATAGACTGCATTAATTCATCATCAGTGTGTAACTGCATCAACTTTAAGTGGTTGTATGAGGCAGATTATGGAGTTGGAGAGGGGACAACAACAGGATCCAAAATAAGACTTAATTATAGAGTTGCAAGTCATCCTATTGGCCACATTTTTATTGTTGCCCACATTTTACATCATACTAAAAAGGGAAGGAGACGGGAAACTTGATTATGTTTCGAGTTTAAAGTTAAGTCGTCTCAACCACACTGAATGAAGCACCATATGAATCACGTCAAATGACTTAGACGGTCTGTTTAGCACAAAATGCCGATGAACTCCTGACACCCTCTTTTGCATTTTCAGATATTTTTCATATGGAATTGATTCTAGGATGGTCTTAATTTCTGGTATCCTAGCGACAGGAATTTGTACTGAAAATTGGCTCCAATTGAGGACATCGCCGAAGGGTAATGTATAATTGTCGGAAATTAAAACCGGCACACACCCTGCATAAAATGCCTCCACCACTCTTGGGCTTGCCACTTCAAACCCACTTGGGCATAAACAATACTTGCTCTGACCCATTAATTTGGTGTAGTTTAGGCCCTTGGGGAGCTTCTCATGGACTTGAACTTCATCGTCTTTGCCCTTCCAATACTCGAGCAGCATGGGTCGAATGGGTCCGTGAACCCGACCCGCAAAGAATGCCAGAATTGGGCGGTTGTTTGGAGCCTGACCCAAAGAGGGTGGGCCAAGCCTTCCATAGGGCAAGTAAATTTCAGGAAGCGAGACATCTCTTTTGGGTTGGAATCCTTCGGAGGTGTTGGCATTGCAAAGCACTCTAATAAAATTCGTGAAAAGCTCAGGCTTCCCAACTGAAACTTCCGGTGCCTGAATTATGAAATATTATACTTGTTTTAGAAGTATGAAATTTTGAATATTCAAGCCAAACAAGTACGTTCCCTTAACACTTAATTTGGTTTTTGTTATCTTTTCCAAAAGAAAAAAAGAAAGACAATTGATGGGAACTATAATACATACCCAATCGTGACATGAAGCCATGAAATGGTCAGCACCATTGCTTCTGTTCCAGTAGGGATATTTATTTGCCACCACCCCAATGTAGTCCATCACAACCCGTTGCAGGCGATCGCGATAGTAGTCTTGTTTTCGGGTGATAGGCATGTAAACATAGTGAACAATATTGGCCACGCTGACGGGCAGGAAAAATGTGTGCGCCTCATCAGGATGTGTAGCCCTAAAGGGGCTCTCCTCCCTCTCTATTTCATCAATGAATTGTCCCTCAATGCCATATATGTTGTTCACTGGACCAAAATGCACCAGCGGTTGCTCTCCTTCCTTGTAGCTCCACACCTTGAACCTCTTCACCATCTCTATGTGGCTCCTGCAGCAAGCACATCACAATTATTTAAGCCCTTAATTTTATAAGAAAACTAGCCTACGTACTTAATTATATAGAAGCTTAAAACTCAACTGGTGAAAAGCATATGGGTTTTTGTAAATGGTTCCTCTTGGGACAAAAGTCTCTGTTTTCTCCGATGTGTAGTTTTTAAACCGAATTGCTTCAAGGATCGCTGCTCGTGCTTTGGCCAAATCTTCTTCAATTTTCTCCAAACTAGTCCTACCCTGGTAACGAGATTAAATACACTAAAAGCTAGTATTAGTCAACTTCATTAATTTACCAAAACAATTACCAAAAGCTTCTACGTACATATGAAGAAACTAACTAGCTCTAGTATTGCTTACTTTGGTAGCACTAGCCTTGTGTCTCCTTTGATACATGGAGTTTGTGAGAATTAATTCATCCAGAGAAACGTGGGGCGGGGTTGTGTGGTTGGTCTTTGTTAGATTGAAAGGTGTAGTGGTATTGAAAGAGGAAACAAAAGGAATATTGAGATGGTTTTCAGTGAACCGTAAGGGTGAAAAGGTTAGAAGGAAGAAAAGAAGAAAAAACAAAGTAATTAGCGAAAAAAGTGTGGAGCAGCGGAATAAAGCTGAAGTCATGGCTTCACTTCTGGTCTTTAATTCACCATTTCCTTAAGATAAGAGGTGAGGGTAAGTCTATGACTCGGTGAGGAAGAAGATGGATGATCATCTGGCCTTATTTAAGGACCTGCAGAGCTGCATTTTTTGACATGTAAAAAGAATTACTTCTTAGCGCTTGAGGTGGAGAAAAAATGGATCGTCTATCGCATTGATGTTAATGCAAAATAATTGAACATGGAAGATTGCTACAGATATCGATATATATATATATGTATAAGTATTCCTGAAAATTTGATGATGAGTATCTTGCAAGTTATCAGAGGAATTATTAGCATTTTGCCATACATATGAGATATGACACCTCATTCGGAGGAAAAATCGTGGCCATGAAAATTGTAATGAATAGAAAGTAAACCCTTTGTCTAAGGCTCGGGGCTCATAATATATTTGACAAAGTAAATCTCTTGGTCTTAAACTGAGGGAGGGTAGCTAGTCATCCAATTCTATGGTGAAGTTTGTAGCATATATGGCCCTTGGGAATCGACCAAACTCTAATCCCAAAGGTATATTAATATTAATATACCTGAGAGTTAGTCAAATTCATTCATTTATCAGCTTTGAGCTTTGTACGTGAGGGCAATACCAATGTATATATATGAGGTCGAAGTGAATTTCTTGGATCACAAACTTCTTGAAGCTGCTGCTTTTTGATTGAACTGAAAGTAATATGCTGTTAAAAGTCCAACCATTTGGCCTCAGAGAGAGAGAGAGAGAGAGAGAGAGATGGATATAATATCTGTAATCTAAATCTAATGGTTTACCTTGGAAACTGCAGAATACATAATGAGGGTGCTGGGTTTATACATAACCTGCATATTCATGCATAGTCATACAGGTGATGATGTTGACTTAAGCCGATTATTTGACTATAATATACAGCTGATGATCAGTGGACTTAAAAGCCGATTAATTAAACTGTAACTTGACCTGGAAGATAATACTCAAATGAGAAATGAGGTTGGTTTTATTTATGTACTCAAATCCTGTTTTTGCTTTTAATATGGCGTTTGAGAGGGGAAAATAATAACAAAATTAATAGCTTCTGAGCCTAGCTAGCTAGCTTGTGGCTTATTGGTTTGGTGCCAACATGTTACATCTAAGCAATACTAGACTGAGATAAAAAGAAGGGGTAATAGATTACAAGAGCTGATGTTTATGAATTATGATCATGTATAGTGTCAAGCTTAGAGTTTAATCGTCTCAACCATACAGAGTGAAGCACCATGTGAATCACGTCAAATGGCTGAGACGGCCTATTCAGCACAAAATGCCTCTTAACTTTAGACACCCTCTTCTGCATCCTCAAATATTTTTCATGCGGAATTCCCTGTAAGATGGTCTTAATTTCTGGTATCTTAGCAACAGGAATTTGTATTGAAAATTGGCTCCAATTAAGGACATCACTGAAGGGCAATGTATAATTGTCAGAAATTAAAACTGGCACACACCCTGCATAAAATGCCTCCACCACTCTTGGGCTTGCCACTTCAAACCCACTAGGACACAAGCAATATTTGCTATGCCCCATTAGTTTGGTGTAGTTTTGGTCTAAGGGAAGCTTCTCATGGACTTGAACTTCATCATCTTTGTCCTTCCAATTATCCAGCAAGATAGGTCGAATGGATCCATGGACTCTGCCTGCAAAGAAGGCTAGAATTGGACGGTTGTTTGGGGGCTGACCCAAATATGGGGGGCCAAGCTTTCTAGAGGGCACATAAATTTCAGGTAATGGGACATCTCTTCTTGGCTGGAATCCTTCAGAGGTGTTAGCGTTGCAAAGAGCTCTAATAAAGTTCTTGAAAAGCTCAGGCTGCCCTACTGAAATCTCGGGTCCCTGAATGATGAAATAGTTATTTGAAAACAAGACATTTCTGATCAATTCAAACAAAAGATTTGTTTTCTTTTTTGAAGGCTAGAAATGAAGCAATTAACTAACATACCCAATCGTGACATGAAGCCATAAAATGGTCAGCACCATGGCTTCTGTTCCAGAAGGGATATTTCCGTGCCACAACGCCAATGTAGTCCACCACAATCCGTTGCAGACGATCACGATAATAGTCTTGTTTTCGGGTGATAGGCAAGTAAACATATTCAACAATGTTGGCTACACTGAAGGGCAGGAAAAATGTGTGTGCTTGATCAGGATGTGTAGCCCTGAAGGGGCTCTCCTCCCTCTCTATTTCATCTATGAAATGCCCTTCAATGCCGTATATGTTCGTCATTGGACCAATATGTACTAATGGTAGCTCTCCTTCCTTGTACGACCAAACCTTGAACCTCTTCCTCATCTCTATGTGACTCCTGATCAGTGACAATATCACAATTTTTATCACCAAACCAACCCTTTATAAGGAAACCTCTTGATCATGAAATGAAAATGCTGATTTGTTTTTCCAATATATAATAATTAGTTAGCAATACTCAACTGGTGAAAAGCATAAGGGTTTTTGTAAACGCTCCCTCTTGGGATAAAAGTCTCTGTTCTCTCTGATTTATAGTTCCTGGACTGAATTGCTTCACGAATTGCTGCTCGAGCTTGGGCTAAATCTTCTTCAATTCTCTCCAAACTAGTCTTATTCTGATCACACAACACCAAAAAGTTGGATGAGTTAAACTTAAAAATTAACTTACTAAAAACAATTCATTTGCCAAGCTTAGTTTAATTGCTCATTTTGGTGCCATCCACATGCACTAACCTTGTGTCCACTCCTCCTTCGATACATGGACTTTGTGAGTAACCCATCTAAAGAAACGTGGGGTGGGGCTGTGTAGTTGCTCTCTTTCAGATTGAAAAAAGCAGTGAAAGAGGAAATGAGGGGAATATTGAGTTGGTTTCCAGAGAAAGGTGAAAAGCTTAGGAAGAAGAAAAGAAGAAACAACAACGTAACTAACAAAAAAGCTAGAGTGGGGAAGCGGAAGGCTCCTGCAGTAGAAGTCATGGCAACTAATTTATCACTTTTCTACTTGTATATGAATCTACGCAAAACCTTTCACTATATTTTTTTTGGTTGCACTAAGACACAAGGAAAAGACGGAACAAACAAAGCCAAAGACGGTCCATAAGAAAAAGAAAGAAAGAGAAGAGGGCTTATGACAGAGAAATGTAGCTATAGCAGCTTTTAGAGAGCAAATCCTTGCAGAATCTAGAGAAGTATAGCCCAAGGTAAGACAAAGAGATGTGTCCAATTAGCATTCACTCAGGCCGATTAGCACAACCTTTTACATTTAGCTTCCTACGTATTAAATCTAAGCAGAGATCGATGTGTGTGTATCTATAAGAATTAACAAGTGATCATTGAGAGAGGAAGAGTTGGTGACTGGGTATGATCATCTGGGCAGGGCATATGCAAATAATAATATTTAATTTATGTATGTATAGGAATAGGAAAAATAGGATCATGTTTTGCCATAAAAATAAATTCATTAAAAGAAGGCTTTTAGCAGCTTTACCTGGGAAATGCATGCTTGTTATAAAATAATTGACTTGGAAAATGTTGTGCCCGCCCTTACGTGTAACGAAATAAAAGTGACAACAGATGAGATTGCATATAGCTCTCACTAATCTAGTGGTTAATTAATCTCACTAAGCTCTGATCCCAAAGGTATGATATCGAGTTAGCTATAGTCATACTCATCGGTTTATTATTTTTAATTAATTTCTTTTATATTATATAACTCATGCTATAATTGATCCCAATATATCAGGAAGTGAATTTCTTGGATCACAATTTAATTGGTTCTCGAGGCTGCTGCTTTTTGATTGCATTCAAAGTAATGTGTTGTTAAAGGTCCAACCAGATCGATCGATCAATGCTCTGAAAAACATATAAAAATATAGAATCTAACGGATACCTTGGAAGCTGTTAGATTCATATGTATACCAGGACTATGTTTATTAGGTATAACTAATCATCCACTGAATATATTTTCACATAGGAATAGATTACCTTAAGCTCATAAATTAAAGTATGAAGACTGCTAATAATTAAGCCGATTAATCTCTTCTTTTTAATTCTGATATGTGCTAGAAATAATCGTTCACGTGCACGTGAGTGATTGTTGATGAAGTTTTCGTTAACGACTGACATCCATCCACACATGCACATCGGTTAATATCAAAACTTGATTTGTTTGGGTGTCATAGTAACTTTGGTCAATGGATAAAACTATCACAATGACATTGGTAATTGATAAATGATTTGCATCTTGTTTGGGCGTCTATTCTATATAGAAACGTGCTTAGGGAGAATTGTGTTCCTATCGCCATCTCATGCAAGATGTATGTTGTAACTGAACCCTTGTATGAGAATCATGTCATATTTCCTAACTGAAGGCAATTCCGCAGCTTCACTCCTCAATACACACACACACACACATGTACAATTATTTTTTTTATCCAGATGTCCACACGTTATTTTTGTGCAGTGCTATTATAAACAGGTAGAAAAGCAAAGGGATAGTACAAAAATACATGACGTCCGCATGATAATAACATCCGAATTTCCGCATAAGAGAATTTCTATATATACATATATATATTCTAAATGTTGTCTTCCTGTTACCATTTTATAATCATTCAACAAATAATAATTAAATATTGTTCATACAATTGCGATAATTTTTTTAATAAATAAATAAAATAATAGAAAACAAATTTGAACCTATTTTCCTTATCCTGGAATACTTCTAAAAACAAATATAAAATGACAGCCTCTAATTCTCTTCCGAGGCCAAGCTCTGTCTTACTCATTACAAAATCAACAATAATAATCCCCCTACCTATCAATATAAATAAAGCACAGGCTCAAGCTGATCAACCTACCGCAAAAAAATTATCAGAAAAGAAAAATGAAGCTTTTGCTCAGTTATATCACGTAGTGTTGTTATTGTCACAGCCAAAGGTGTTTCGCCAGTCTAGCATTACAAGAATGGCAGCATAATGCGCCAAGGCACCCAACACCACCAAAACATGAAAAATCTGATGGCTGTGCCCTGCTATGTCAAACCATCCGGGCCTCCATCTCTCTGGAATCCGAGTGATATAAAATCCAGTCCCTGTCAAATAGAAAAATGCCATGGCAGCCTCATAAACCAGAGTGACGTTGCGCCGCGGGTTCCCCCAGTTCACAATGCTGGCATGGACTGCAGGCACAATCCCAAACAACCCCATGGATGCAAACAGCAAGGCTCGAAACGTGCGAAATTTGCCACTCGAAAGCTTGGGAGAGAGCAGTGTTATGATGGTGAAAACGCCCATGATTGTGATGCCACCAAGGTAGATGAATTGCCAGCGCGGGTCACATTGGAAGATGTAGTAAATTGGAGGGAAAAATGAGGTGATGATCATCATGGTGATGCCGGCATAATCGATGCGCAGCAGCAGGAGGTTCAAGGGGTGAGAGTGACATGAAAAGAGGTGACAAATGCTGCTCGAGAAAAGGCAGAACATAGAGCCTCCTAGGAACACATAAAAAGGCCAATATACGACGCCCCCCATTTCATGACCAGCTGCTGCTGCAATTTCCATTTCCTGAGATGGCATTTGCTTCAAATCAATAAGATTCGTTGTCATGATCCCCTGCTAAATTTCTAGTATTAATATGAGAAGGGTTATTAATAATATTACAACTTAGAATAAGTTGAGGTTAATTACCGAAATGAAATTACGGGAAACATTTGTAACTGCACTAATAGGTGTGGACCTGCATCAAACATATACAATAGCTAACTGAGGGAGGGTTTAATGAATTTCCTATAGCTAGCAACATCTGCTTTGCTCGTCGAGAAATTTGCAGCTTTGAAATTAAAATGGATGGGATGGAATGTTATGTATTCATGCATGGTTGCAAATTGCAATTAATTAATGAAAATGGAAGTAGCTAGTAAACAATCTATAATTAACAGAAAATAATGATTTCATCCAGGAAAATAAATATTTCAAATTACCTAAATCTCTATATATAATTTTAAGAGTCAGTATTCTATATGTGATTCTAATAAAATCTCATATCAGATACGATATTCAAATTTCCCCACACAAAAATAAATATAAAGGGTAAAGAAAGAAAGCCTCAACAAACCTGGCAAAAAAGCCGAGGAGATCCGCTACCTGAGGCACTCGCAACAAATTCGCCATAGTCAAACCCAAAAACAGAACAAATCCAATCAAATGCCTGCAAATAATATAAAATAAAATAAAATAGATATAAACAATTCAAAGAAACTAAAGAAGAAACCCCATCAACCAAAATCCAAAATCATCAAAGAATTAAAAGCGAATTAAAGAAATGAATCAATCAAACAATGAACAAACTTAATTTGAAATAATGTTAAGGAAATTACGTACGTCCAAACGTTGAGAGTTTCGTTATGCCAACGGAAAACGCTAAAGAGAGCTTGAGGGAGAGGCCAATTGGCTCTGTAGTAATTGAGTATGAACTCATTGTCTTTCATGTACTCCGGCAACTCCCAATACGACATCAAGCTGTACCGTTTGGGTTTCGTCTTCTTCTTCTTCTTCTTCTTCTTATTCTTGTTGTTGTCGGTGACATGATTATGAGAAACATTAAAATAATTATTATCAACTGATGCCGAGGAGGAGGAGGTTTGATGATCCATTGTTGTTGTTGGTTTTCTCTTCTTGGCAAGAGCACCTCCTTCCATGGGACTCATTGTCCTCCGTACAAAATATTCACAAGGGGTGTGGAGGGAGAGCCTTCGCTTCAGAGAGAGAGAGAGAGAGAGATGAAGATTGATTGGGTTGGGTTTATAGATAGAGGGAAGGAGACAGAGTTTATGGTTGAAGGAGGAGAAGGGATATGGGATAATAGGGGCGGGGCTATTTAGTGCAGTTGGAGGTTGTACAACTGCACCAACCAACCAACCACAACATTAATAACATATATATATATATATATATATATATATATGGATTTAAAGAAAGAAAGAGCACCCTCCTTCCTTCCTTCCTTGTCATCATTTCATTTTGTTGCAGCTATATATCTTATAGCCTATAGCGTATAGCACTGGCTGGTTGGTTGAGCTCCGTACCTAAATTGTTTTAATGTTAATATGGACCATCACGTACGTCTTTCCTTTTCCTTTGCGCCCTCCCTCCCTCCCTGGTGGGGGAAGAGTCTCTTCTCTATAACATTATCAAGATCATCAGTATTAATTGGTTAATTATATTTTCATTACGACCGGCCAACCCCAACCCAACTGTGATGTGATGTGATCATTCATTTTATTTTTAATAATGGAAAACCCACTTTTCATAATGCATGGCTTTTGAAGCATTTGCCATTGCATGCATGCATTGATTCATCTCAATATTCCATTGGTTTTTTTAATTTATGCAACAATTACCTCCATACTTCCTTAACCGTGGATGGATTGTCAATTATGCATATATGTAAGGTGCAAGGAATATATTAATATTTGAAATATTTTACTATTTTTACAGAGACTTAAATCGTCATAAGATGTCGTGGGGTTATCACAGTGGTTGTCTTGTGGTCCTTCCTCTTCCTCATTGCTTGGCACCCAGGATCGATACTCTAGAGTTTCTTCCTTCCAAATGTAATGGAAAAAAAATTCCCATAAGATAATATTGGTTAGTCAACTATTTCTCAAAATATCAGCTTGAGTAGAATGTTCTAATTAGTTTGGATTTTCCTTTTGTAAGGCTTTCTGTTGGGAAAAGAATTCTAATTTTCAGACTTAGGTTTATTGTTAATATTTTCCTCTAGGGTCTAGGTGGCATTTAGCAACCACTAATGTACCAATCCTTTGTTTGAGAGGAAACACAGGTGGCCTACTATTGGACTGCTTCTTTTTTTTAATGTATTTATTATATATTTATTTAGAACAAGCAGAATTTCATTAATAAAGGGGTAAATACAAAAGATGTACAAGAAGAATATATCTCAGATGGAGGTTCTTACATACAATAAATCAGGAAAAATAAATATAGCAAGACAGTGACTAATAACTATTACAAATTCAAGCTCATCTCACTCAGAGTTGACAGATAGAGGATCAAAAAAACCTTTTTCAGCACCAGTGCTACATAGAGACCATGAGAACAACTAATTCTGCATGAACAGGGAACCAAAAGCACCAAAAGTGAAAGGGCCTTACCGCTCAACATCCACTTGGCTAAAGAAGGTCATAGCACCTCTAGCATCCCACATGATCTCACAGCATCCAGTATGAAATATCCATCAAGATCTAGCAACTCTGCCTCCTCAACAAAAAGGATTTTAAAAGCTTGTCTTGGGAATAACCAAAACTCAGCACAAAACTGAGGAGAAGCAAAACCCAACATAAAATTGAGGAGGAAAATCTCTCTACAACATGATGGAGGAGAAAATCGCCCGGTTTATTAACCAAATGGATTGGTTCCAGGGGAAAATCCCTAGAACCAAAGGAGGTTGTTGAGAAGAGAGACCAAGAAAAAAGGAGAAGAATGGAGAACCAGGGAGAAGGGTCGAGAAGGTGGTGGATTACTATTGGACTGCTTGTTAGTTAATCATTCATTGGCCTCAACTCACTTTAAAAGCAAAATCTGTCCTATTTCTGACTGAATTCTTACACTAGATTAAGAAGAAGAAAATAATTTGAATCCAACGTTTTACACCTCCATCTCACCTCACCTTCAAAATCCAACTTCCATGATCATGTTCCTAATTTGTAGTTTTTTATATTATATAAATAATTATAAATGTATTATGGAAATTCGGTTTACATCGTTCCAATTTATCGAATCTCTAGGAAAGGGACCACAAGAAAATTTTGGTTTATATTGTTGTTTAGACTTTAATGCCCTTTTCTTATGATGTGACAATGGTGCTTGTCTTTATTCTCGATCGGGAATAGCTTGGGACATTGCGTTTACGTAAATGATGTACAGTGACCTGTGATTCCTGGACACGTGTCCTTCTGTGTAGCTTTAATTATGCTTACTGCCACGTGTACTAAAGAGCAGATCCCATCTACCACCGTTGCTGATTTGGGAACAGAATAGCGAGCGCACCGCAGAGATGACATGAGCAATTAAGCAAGCAAATCCCCGGATGAAAATATAAAAATAGTAGAGACAGATGACAAAGATGCAGGGCTACACAATTAATTTAGAAGCGATGTTGGCTATGGCTCTTTATTTCGTAATCAGTGAACATAGCCACAGAAGAAAGTAACAAAACATTTACTTTGGAAAGAAATGAGAAGCATGAATGAATGCAAACAAGTATTGAGCTTTATGCCGAATCCCGCAAACAAACTTTTTGAGGGCAAGGTTCAAAATAGAGAGGAGATTGCTTATGCTGCTATGAGGATGGGCTTTACTTTACAAATGCACATTTCTACGTCTTGACAACTCCGAGTTTCTCCAACGAAACCCGGATATCGTCGCTGCCACAGCCTTCACTGGTCTGAACAATGTTGGGACTGTCAAGAGCCAGGACATCTGATAGAGGGTAGTTTCGGTTCGTATGGAGTTGACTGATTGCATTGCTCGCAACTCCCTTGAGTATTACACTTCTGTGCAGCCCACCAAGCAATCCTTCATAGTCTGTATCCCCGCATTCTCCAGCAAGAACCACCACTTTTGATAAGTCTACACCCCATCGAAGATATAAATACCTGAACGAATACAATTTGCTTGTTTCAGTCATGACACTTCACATATAATTCACAGGTTTAAGTTTTAACCATAAACAATGTGGCTGCTTTCACTACTCACTAGGCCTCCATCTCCTCCTAAAAGATCTCCACGGCCATGTTTCAACCACGAGGGCATTTCATGGGTGAATATTAAATTTAAACAAGAAGGTCTACAAACCCTTGACAACATAAACATTGTACCTGAGGGCTTGGGAACGAGATGCCAATACTGGAATTACATTCACTCTGGTCCCATTCTGGCAGTAAATTACATGGCACCGCAAAGCCTGAATCCTCAGCAACTTCCGAAGCTCCTTCACTGGGGGAACCTGGAAAGATAAAAATAAAAGAATTCCTATCATGCACAAAGTGAAAATATTTAACAAACTACAGAAAACTTACACGTATATACTAATCAATTGAAGCACACGCACAATATTACTCATTTCATACAAAACTCATCCGGAGTCAAAATTGAGGAACAATTACCTTTCCGGGCTTCTGCACTTTAAAAGCATAACAATAGTCAGTTGAAAGTTGATCAGCCGCAGTAACAATCTGTTCCTCACTCCCAGTCTTCTTATCATTAACTGAACCTGCCCAACGTACTAACGTCTTCCTCAATCCTTCTCCACCCCAACGATATTCGATGTGTGAGTGGTAATAAAAGTCGACTACAAAGGGACGCTCCTCTGAATGAATAGATGGATAGTAGAGATCACTGCCACTGTTGCAAATAAATGCATCAAAGTCATTGGGGCTCAAGCCCCCTGAGACCAGAAATGAGCTTATCTCGGATATCGTCAACGATGTTGACAATATGAACCCCACAGAGCCTTCAGTCCTTTCCTTTCCTGTAGCCTCAAAAATCTTCCTTGTAGTTTCAATTAGATCTGTAATGGTATCACAATCCACAGCAATGACAATAAGATGTTTCCTCCTTCTCAGTACTGGGAACTTACCAGCACTGTTATGGTCTGCTTTCTCTGAGAACCCAGCCTTCCGTGTGTCCCTTGAAATACCCTTTGACCATGCCAAAACAGCATTCTCTATTTTATTCCTTCTATCAGCAGTATTTCCTTCATATTCTGAAGAACTGTCATTCACACTAGTTCCGCTCTTTTCTCCATCCAATGAAAACTTCAAGTTCAAAGATAAATCCTGTATATCTCTCAAGGAATCACTTGGGGAATCTGATTCTGAAGTTTCTGCTCCATCCTCACTTCTCTGCCATTGTGGATGCCTTGGTTTGCAACTGGCTATTCGAGACAGGTAAGTTTTGCAGTGCTCAGGCCAAGAAAATAGGTGAATGTTCTTCAACCCATTCTGCCGACATCTTGCCCAGAGCTGCTTATCTGCAACAAGCTTCAGGAGAGCATCAGCAATAGACTGCTGATCATGAGGATCCACAAGAAGACCATTGTCAAGTACCTGTAGAAATAGCTCCAATCAGTTGTGTACAATTCAATGTACAATACATGTAGAACCTTCTATCAATTCTTTATGACAGATGAGCAGGCATACCTGATGAATATCAACAGGACCCCCATTTTTTGTGGCAACAATAGGTAAACCATGAGCAGCTGCCTGTACAATAAAAGAGCAGAAGTTATACTTGTTTCTGAAAAAAGAAAAGAAAAAAATTGGAAAAATATCATACAAAGGTCCTGATAATTTTAAGACACACACCTCAATTAATGTGAGTCCAAACGGCTCGATGAAAGCTGGATTAATGAAAACACCCTGCAAAAATGGATTAGAATGAAACAATTAACCAGTAAAAGGAAATGCATTTTGTGTGCAGAGAGAGAGATAGACAGAGAGACAGAGAGAGGAGGGGCACGGAAGTGGACTAAATAACAAAAACAAAGATATAGCACACTTAAATTAAATACCAGCAGCAGTTGGAAAAAGTATGGCATTAGAGATTACTGTAGCCTTCCATGTCTAATAGTGCTTCAAATTTTCCAATATAAAGTGCACATATAGTTGAATTTACTTCACTGATATAAACTACAAAAGGTACCTTTGTCTTTGCTGCTAGACGATAAATCTCAGGAACATCAGACTGTTTGTGGTGTTTGGGGTATGCCACTTGCCCATACAAATCATGTTTGTCAATAAGCTTGAGTACTGAGAGAAGAACAGAAGAACTTGTGCCTGACATTTCATCAATTCCATCGCGGTTGCCCATAATTAGTGTCTGTAGAGTACAGAGAAAAAAAAACGTTAAGTAATGAAATTGGAACAGAAACAAAGGCAATTCAGCAAAAGTGCCATCAAGGATGATAACATACAAGATTCGCAAGCTCTCTTAGTGGGCGACATTCTCCAAATGCTTTGACCAAAGTTGTGATGTTCTTTTTTGGATCTGGTCTAGCAAGGGCAAGAATCATCGGCTTGCGAGGATTGGTAAAGAAGCGCATTATCTGCATTATGAAAAATTTAGATTGGCACCCGTCAATGCATAATACTCAAGCATAAGGCTTAAAAATTGTAAAGCAGGGCATATCGAAACAACTCATCAGCTATCTTTCTGGAAGACATCAAAGTAAATGCATAAAGAGTAACTAGAACCTCAGACCAAATAGGTGGGTCTGGAGAAGTAGGATGGTCTTCATTTGCTTCTGTCTCACCATCCATATCACCGTCATGCGGAATAATATGATGGAACTCCATTCCAGGAGGAATTATCTGCAGAGAACTACAAAATCGTAAGATATGTATATAAAACAAGCAAGTCCCTTGCCAGGGAAACCCAGCATAATATTTCAAGAAGAGCAAGCCATGAGTACGTAGACCTTTAAACAAGGATATGAAAAATGATCTCAGTACTTACCACCATGCGGGGCATGAACCTGCCATAACAGCTCACATTACGCCTGATCCTAGCTCGCAGTTTCCGCTCCAGTATTGGATCAAAACCATCATACAAGCGCCATTGCTCTTCTATCTCCTGTCTAGTGCTGGTAATAACTATTTCAGAGGAATCAAGGGCCAACTCCTCAGCCTCTATCCGACGCATAATTTTGTATGTTGTGTTTATTTCATCCCTTGAAAGACGGCCTTGTTTTAAAAGTTGCTCCAACTTATCTCGGCCGAGTGAGTGGCCAGTAAAAAGCATCGGGACATTTAAAGCACCAGATAAAAGGGCAGCAGAGTCACCAGCATCTGCATAATGTCCATGGATGGCAACAGGCCAGACTGGCTTCCCACCACCAATTTGTTCACCCAAAACTTTGGACATCTGTATTATGTGGTTCAGCGCACCATCAACAAATTCAGGGATGTGTGGCCAGAGTTCTTCCTTAGGAATGTATTTATCTTTGGGACCGAATGGTATACGAATGATATACGAACCACTGCTCTCCCCCATCTCTTCCGCAAAACCGTCTGCATTAATTGGAGTCAGCATCTCTGTGGGCTCACCATAGCTCCAATCTACATCCGGTGATGACACTTGTCTAGTTAGCAGATCAACTCTATACACTCCTGGTGTGGTGCCCAAAGCCCTTGCAAGTTCTACCAC